CGAGAGAACAGGTAGATTCGTAACTGCTTTTTGCAGAGCTAGAAGTCATCTCCTTGAGGAGGTTGTGTTTGTCGTCAGGCGTAGCAATGGCGAGCCCGACGAAGACCTTCTCATACGTCCAGCCACTTGATGGTCTGACGTGGAGTCTCAAATCCATTAGATGATTTGGACTTGAAGTGTACTTGGCGTGTTAGCATCTGCTGGATAAGTCGAAGTTTGTAGGTGGTAGAGCAGAATCGTCGATTTCGCATCATCATCGAGGTCGATGAGAAGAAGGATTGGTTTGTCACGCAGCTGTGACTCGAAGCTGGTGTATGCGTCTTTGGCAATCTTCATGGTGAGGAATAGGTTGAGGGTAGCATGAAAGCTATTGTGTTTGTTAACAAAATGCACTACGCTAAAAGCTAGTGTAAAGATCTTTCGAGTGTTTTGATTTTGAGAGAATGAAAGTTATGATTGAGGATTAGAAAGCTATGAAAACTAATCAACGAGAGAAGTCCACAATCAAAGGATCGTAGATCTGAACTCCCGCGGGGACTGTAGAGTGTGATAGAGTAGTTGTTGCGGTAGCAATCTACTCACTCCACGATCCAAAACGGAACGCGTGGAAGATTCGTCTAGCATTTATCTAGTAGCGTGAATCTCTCCACGCCAGCTAAATATCTACGCGATGTTTCACCATCGACCTAGTGTGACTAGCGGTCATGAGAACCCTGTCTCAATGACTATTCACGAAAGACTCAGTCATGAGTCGAACTCAAACCCTATCTAGGATCGAGTCGCGAATAAGGCTAAGAGCCGTGTATTGCACTTAGCTTGTGCTTAGCTTGTGCTTAGCTAGCTAGAAGTAGATCCCCCCTAGCTAGAAGCAGATTCCCATAGCAAGCTAGAAGCAGATACCCTAGCTAGCTAGAATCCTAGTTATATAGCGTTCGCTGGCTTTAGAGTTTTTCCTGGTAGAAGCAAATCCCCCTAGTAGGATGCATGTAAATAGCTTTAGCTGATTTTTAAAAGCACCATCCTAGCTAGGATACCTATTTAGTTTTGCTGACTTGTTTGTATTCTAACCCTACCCTTATACCTGCAGGGACCACCGTAGCAGGAAAAACAATTAAAGGGGTTGAGGGCTCTGGCAGCAAGACTGCCGAGGTAAAGCTACAAATTCACCTCTGAACAGCATTGGTCACGGCAGATTTTTTGTCAGTCTCGCGCTTTTGGGCGATAAACTCCTTGGCTTTTTGAATGGAAGCCAATCGAGGTGGTCCACTGGATGCCCTCGGCGGCAACGCCGCTCCCTTCTTGTGCTGCTCTCTATTAGCTGTTCGAGGCACCTTGAAACTAGCCGCTCGTTCAAACCCTCGTTTGGACCCATCAGGACGAGGCTGTGCGAGAGAAGCCAATGCCGGCAGATATGTTCTCTTTGTTTCCGCTTCTTCCGAAGAAACACTATTGTCATCCTTGCCATCACCCAACAAATCTCTCAGGCTGTCCTGTTTCTTTTTCAGCGCCTGGTATCGTCGGCTGCTCTGCGACACTCGCGGTGCGACGACGGGAGACAAGGAAGCCTGAGGCCGTCTCAAACTCTTTCCGGAAAAACTTCGAGACTCGGGCCGCTCTTTGTGGCTGCTGGTCGTCAGCGTACTGGGACTTCGGGAGCGTCGCGCGTTGGCACTGGACCGCTTGGGCCTGGCATCATTAGATCCCGAACGCCCATGGTGGCTGCTGCTGGTCAGGCTGGGACTATGGGAGCGTCGTGCATCGGCACTTGGCCGATTGGGGGCGGCGTCACCGGATCTCTTACTTGAATCGGACTCGCCCGAAAACGCCGATCCTTGATGACGTACGGGACGTTCCGAAGGGCTGCGAGAATTGTTTGGACTGCGTTTCGCATCACAGGAGCATTTTGGGCAGGCATCGTCGCTGGATCTGCTAGAATCGGACTCTCCCGAAAAGGCATTAGATCTCTGACTTCCATGAGGATCTCTGAGGCTGGAAGCGTGGGGACTGTTGGAGCGTCGCGCATCATCACTGTATCGTTTGGAGCTCGTTGACCGTGATACTCCTCTCGATCGCCGAGAATCCTGGGATCCATTGCGGTCTCGGCGAGGGACACGGGCGGGTTTTTCCGTTGATGTAGGGTTGTGATCTCCATTCTCCACACGGGGGCAACTGTGACTTCGTTCTACGCCTTCTCGGGTACGCCTTGTGTGTTGTTGCTGTGGTTTTCTGGGACTCTGCCCTCTTCGAGTGCCTCGTATTCTTTCCTTATTATTGTGGTTGCCGTCAGCTGTAAACGATTTGTTGAGCGTCTCGCCCATTACGGCTGCTTGTAGCTTTTGCAGATCCTGATGATGGTTGCCAGCTTCATTTTCATCATCACCAATTAGTGAAAGTGACGCACCGTGATCGGCTTCTTCTTCCTTTGCCTGTCGTCTGGATCTCATGACTTCTGCCAGGCATCCTGTTTGCCGGGTGCTATCTTGTGTGAATCGAAAGAACAAGTAGGAATCTTCAATCTGATGATCACCACAGACATGTTCCCAACAATGAAGCTTCTCATTCATCTCTCTGCACACTTGAAGCGCTTCTTCTCGTGTCTCCAACTTGAAAAATTCTTGGGCTACCGTCACTACATCTTGTGCCAAAAAACATGCCTTGTACGTTTTCAGCAGGTAGGTACGATCCTTCACCTCTACGGTCTCTTTCATGTGCTTGATAATCTCATAGTAGGTTTGTCGAGTGTATGCTGTAGACAGATTTCGCTTGAAGGCAGGAAGCTTGGGATCATCGCTACTACTTTGTTGGGCGGCGGAAGAATCCACGCCATCAGCACCAGCATTGTTATTGTCTTGTTGAGTGCTATCTTGTGTGAATCGAAAGAACAAGTGGGAATCTTCAATCTGATGATCACCACAGACATGTTCCCAACAATGAATCTTCTCATTCATCTCTTTGCACACTTGAAGAGCTTCTTCTCGTGTCTCCAACCACAGAAATTCTTTGGCTACTGTCACAACATCTTTTGCCAAAAAGCACTCCTTGTATGTTCTGAGATGGTAGGTACGGTCCTTCACCACCACTGTCTCTTTCATGTGCTTGAAAATCTCATAGTATGTTTGCCGAGAAAACGCCTCGGACAGGTTTTGTTTGACGGCAGGAAGCTTGGGATCATCGCTATTACTTTGTTGGGCACTGGAAGACATCGTGGTGGCGGAAGAATCCACGTCGTCACCAACCTGGGTGCTGTTACCGGTAGTAGTGTTGATGTGACGAATGTTGGGAATCGAAATGCTCAGCATGGAGACTCTTTTCTTGGTGATTGGCTATAGCGCTATAGCGGTAGCAGGAGCTTGGAGTTGACTTTTTAAGTGAGACGAATGGGGATGGCGTCGTTATTGAGAACGGAGAAGTTACTACCGGTTGGAGCGGTCTATAGTGAGGATGGGGTTTTGAGGAGGAGGAGGGCAGGATAATGTTGTTATTGTTTATGAAATGGCATGATCCGTCGACCCGTTTTGGTGTTGATTCATGGGGGCTTGGCTCCTCGTCAGACCACGCCGAAGCCAGAATGTCGCTGGGTTTCAAAAGGAATGGCACAAGAAGTATCAACCGGTTGAAAGCAGTGTTAGCACGTTAGCACGTTAGCACACAGCACACCGATGGTCAGGATGACTATGACTCTCAAAGAAGCCTTCTCTTTGATGAAGAGAACTATGCATAGGACTTGCAACAAGGACGAGGTAATAATTTCGTAAAGTCATATTTATATTATCTGTTGACGTTCTTGTATCATACTTATATTACCTCGTCTACCTGTCATACAAAGTACCGGTACCCATGGAAAAAAGCCGAAAAGCCGAATTCTGGAAGGTGAAAGTACCGGCGGTCGCTAGTGTCAGTGGTGAATCCACTGTGGGCTTATTAGTACCGTTGACAGACTACGACTCGACTCAAAGAGCTCCCAAGAAAACCTGGTGCATTTCAGTGTTCTTTGGTGGTAAGAACTAAGAACAAATCTGAAACGTTGAAACAGCTGCTGTGGACAGTGGACTCTTGATTTGCGACTCCAGAGCTCCTGAGACGTTTGCTTCACGGGTGGGACCAAGTGCCTGGTGCCTGATGTGCAATGGACTGTCACTCTGACTCAACTCGATGGCTGGCTAGCTAGTAGGCCAAAAGTAGCTGGCCAGGTTGGCTTTTATTCCTGTTCCGTCAGTACCAGTAAGTGCTGATCCTGACGGTTGCTTTCTCGATTCAGCCACACCAGTAACTGTTTAGTGGCTGTGGTTGCAGGGTTGGATCACATGTTGCAAGCAGTCTTCATAGCGACATCTGTAGCTGCAAACTCAACTGGCTTGTTGCCTTGATTGGTTATGGGGCTGAATGAGCAGTGAAGCTTGAGCTATGTCATGTGGACTGCCAGGGGGTCAGACTTAGGAAAAGGAAAGGGGAAAGTCAGGACTATGCATACGGTAGGTCCCTTGGGATCAGGAGCGCGACAAACTGGGGACCAACATTAGGGCCAAAGAGCTTGGAGTTTGACCAAGTATCTGATGACCGGTATGGTAGCTGGCTGGGTTGCATTTTGCTCCATCAGTAACTGGTGATCCTGATGGTTGCCTTCTTTTGATACGTGGCCGTAGAAAGTAAAGGATTCAATCATTCGCTCCAGTAACACTTAGTGGCTATGGTTGCAGGGGATCACCTGCCATGTATTGCTGCAAAACAGGCATGTTACCTTGTTTGGTTATGCTGAATGAGCAGTCAAGCTTGAGCTATGCCGTCTTGCTTGATCATTCCTTACCATACAATGATGTTATTTGGGTTGCTTGCTGCTGAGGTTCAGGGCTAGCCACATTTCTGGATGAAGGTCAGGACGCTTTCGTGCACGGCACACTTATGATTTTAAAAAGGGAAATAGCAGACCATTGGCGTTTGATTGCGAGGGATAGTAGCTCTACGGTACCCGTGACCAATGTCGGAAAGGATAGTACGCAGGAGGCAACAGCCGAACAACATGGGGCGTGATCTGAGAAGCAAAGAAGGCAACAACTAACTGCAGCAAAGGTTCTTTTGGTTCCAGCTCGCTCTGTGTGTCAACTCGCTCCGGCGCAGATCCGCTGGCTCTTGTATTGGTGCCTGGCGCTACACACAGGTGGCTGACACTGCACACCAAGACCCACCAGATCACGCAACAAGATCAAGTGACTAAATCCCGCCCACAAAAGTCTCAAAGGAATAATCTGCTTGTTGGAAAAGCAGTTGCTTTGCTAGACTTGGACGGCACGATCGATGACTTTGTGAGGCTCGAAGGTGGAGTTTCCTTTTGGCTGAGCGCGAAAGGACATCTCCTAGCACCAAAATCTGATATCCGAGTCCGCCTCGTCAACATTTGGCTCTTGGTGCTTTCGATGCATCCACCAGAACACTTGTGGACTTGTTTTGCACACAAGGAGTGGCTCGTGCCCGTTCTCAGTGGTTGGCCAACGACCTAAGTAACAGTATCATTTGCTAAGTCTTTCATGTTGATACATGCTTACGGAAGTCACGCTCTCTAAATCGTTAATTACCTTGGCAGCTCTTGTGTGTTGTCGTCACATTTTCATGAGAAGCACCCGCGACCTGAAACATAGAGTTTGATGCGAAAGAAGGAAGCTTTGATGTTACAAATCATCTCTCTTTGATCATAATTATTGAAAGGAGACCAAGAAACATTGATCGATGAAGATCTCAACCTTTGCTACGTTCCTCTTGACTGCTGGGCCCGCTGTGGTCGCTCGACCTCACCGCGTTCGAGGGCGCCGGCTCCAGCAACTGGTTGGGTTTGGCGGAGAACCTAACCCTTCTCGTCTACCTTTGGGACCGTGTCAGGGAGACTGTGATTCTGATGCTGACGTAAGTGAGGCAGTTCTGCTTTGAATTTTTTCATCGTTCCTTCTTTCTCATGTTTCTTTCATCCCATTCCTTCGGTCCAGTGCCAGCAAGGCTTGGTTTGTTTCCAGCGTGCTGCACCCCCACCGGGTGGCGCCTGGCCGGAAGTCCCAGGATGCATTGGAGGCAGCCAATTTACTGCCAAGACTGACTTTTGTATATTCCCTATCTTGCCCGCTGAGGAATCACCTCCGCCCACGATTGCTCCGACATACTCACCCACGGAAAGTCCTTCGGATGTTCCGTCTTTGGCTCCTTCTGAGAAACCCACCGCTTTTCCTACAAAGGACGGGGCAACTGCAGCCCCGAGTACTCCAACGCCCACAAATGGGCCAACGACCGAGACACCGTCAACGGCGCCAAGTTGGAACGCTTACTGGGATCTTCCAGAAGCGGATTTCGTTGGAGACGGCCTTCCAAGTAGCGGTCTCTCTCTTGGTCTTTGCCAAGGTAAGCCATTATGGAAGGCATACTGTAACACCGAGCGTGTTTTCTACCATTCGTCTCTAATACGTGTTTGTGTTGTTTCCTTAATGAAGGTGACTGCGATGTGGATGAAGATGTAAGGAGTTCCCTGATGCTTGGAATCTGCTCTATGTATCGCTGTATCGAGTTCTGCCTAACACCGCTCATTCTTCTACTGTCGCTTCATCATCAGTGCCTGGATGAGCTCGTGTGCTATCAACGTAGGTTCGACGAACCGATTCCTTGGTGTCGAGGAAACGCACTCAACAGTGTGGACTACTGCGTGAAACCGCCTCCAACCGTGGAAGAAGTTCCGCCAGCCACAATGTCTCCCACTACGATGGCAACTGCGGCGCCCACAGACATGGTTGTTGCCCTGCAGACTGTCGGCGATGAGCCTGAGATGCCCCTCGGGATTTGCCAAGGTGCGTACTGGAATCCAGTTGTATCGCCATCTTTTTGTCCTCCTACAATGTTTCATCCGTTCATGACCTTCCTCGCTCTCCCCTTGGCTCATCAGGCGATTGTGACACAAATGGTGAGAAGTGACCGTCTTTGGGCAACCAACACAGTGCGCATGATCTAACCTCTTGTATTTTTACGTTTGAAAGATGACTGCTTGGATGATCTCATTTGCTTCCAGCGTGACCATGTCGAGCCGGTACCTGGTTGTGTGGGGACTGGCAGCGTTAGTTACGACTATTGCATCATTGATCCTTATGCCACGGCGTCTCCTACCATGGATCCTAACAGTACTCCAGCTCCTTCTGAACCAATCACAATGTCTCCTACCACCACCATGACGGATGCTCCCACCACCAATACCAACACAGGTGCTCCCACGAACTGGGATCCTCTTGTTATTTCGGCATTCGAGCCACCCACCGCGTCGCCGACCTTTCAACCATTGCTAGCCACTGTGGACAAGGATAGCGACGGCCCCTTGGGCTTGTGCGAAGGCAAATGCAAAACTGATGATGACTGCGAAGGAGATCTCATTTGCCTGGATCGAGACTCGGAAGATGAAGTCCCCGGATGCGGCGGAAGTCCCCACAAAGGCGATGACTACTGCATCTACCCCCTCTGATTGCTCTGTTATTTGGCGGTTCATTTATATTCTGCTGGCAAAGACTCACGACGTTGTCACTAAGTATCCATATTATGATCAGACTGACTAGACACAGAACGCCCAAACCGAATATATTCGTCCAAGAAATGCTGGAAAGACTATTAGCACAATGTTCGTTTTGAGATCGTGCTTGTATTAATTCAGCCGCTTTCAAAACAAGTGTAGCTGTCTCCGGGTGCTTCGTGCATGTCCAGCCCATGGAGCTCGGCAGCAGTGTAACAGCAGCTTTTTTTGTGGCTGACTGGTTCAGATCTAGAATTTGGTAAAAGCCTCTGGTATGCGGATCAAACGACTCCATTCTGTTTTCATTTCAGGCCCTGTAACAGTCAACATTCCGTTGTCCTTGTCTAGGGTGATTGTTGTAATATTTTTCGCTGTAAGCAAGTCTTCCAGGGAACGGATTACTGGGTTTAGAGGCAACGCTCTAGTCGACACGAACCCCGGGCCACAATCCACCTTTATTGTGGTCTCATTTTGCTGCAGAATGCTGGCAGTGCCAGATATTGTGTTTGAAATGTCAAAATAAATCTTGATCTCCTTATTGCTACCCTCGTTGATTAGTTCCAATAGAATAGGACGACAAAGATAATCACGTGGTATTTTCAATTGGTTCTTGCCGTTCCATGCCTTGTCGAGCTTCCAGTTGCCATAGAACCCAGTGACATTGGGAGTAGAGAGCTCTGTTGATGGTGAAGTCTCGGGCGCCTCCACACAGAGAGAAGCTGAACCAACGACCTGCAGGCACGGATAGAAGGTTGTGGTGTTATTGGACAAGCGAAAACCAGCACCAAGGCACTCTCCATTCTTGAAGGATGATACTGTACTGTCAGGGTTTCTCCTGGTGAGACCCTCACACCAATGACATCTCCTGTCTGAAAACTGGGGCCCCACCTATCTCTGAGGGAAGGGCCCCAGTTTTCTCTGAGGGAACAATAACTTCCATTGGTCAGATTTCCATTGTAGAACATGCCCTTGATCTTATACCCAGGATTGATTCCATCCTCGCTAACGGCACCAAAACTGAGGTGGCCTTTCAGCTCTTGGATGGTTGCTTGCCAGTAGTAGTCTTGTGTGCAGGAAGCCTGCTCTGAATGATCCAGGCGAAGATTGAACTGCAATGGGTCATCAGAACCGGTGATCACCAAGTTGTTGCCTGTTTGCGTGAATGTAGTGCCAGTGTCGTCTGAACCATCGCCCACCCATGCCATTTCCTTGTTGTGAAGGGAGTTCTGTGCTGCTTCTAAAGATATGTAGTCTTTGCCTGGGCCTGGCCCGCCACCGGCTTCCGTTGATAAAATAGAGCCCATTGGAACTGTGAATGGAATCAGTTTTTTTCTGATACAGCGATGAGATTGGGTTGAGCGGAGAGCTATAATAGCAGCTTATGATATCAAGCAAACATGCATGTAATGCTACAATTAAGTCGAATGCAAGAGTGTCTTTCATCAATGGGTTCGTGCCCGTACCAGTATCCGCGTACAGTATAATATCCTTGTCTCTGTCAACCGTGGATCCCCTCAGTTCGTGACATGGAATCTTTACTAGCTAGCATACCACTGTGTCGTGACTGCAATAATAATTTGGGTCTCCCGCCAGAAGGGTTTCACAGCTGTTCACGGGATCTGTCTCAATTGTCTGTTCTGTTCTCCTGTGGCACCATCTGCATGCAGCCGACTGTTCCTACCGATAGCTGTCTGGTTGTCTGGCACCATCTGCTGCCGACAGTTTTTCCGTCCCTTCCTTCTGGGATTCCTGCGACTGCTTCCTCCTCCGCCTTCTAGCTTGCTTGCAAGGATACTAGTACATGTAGCTGCATCCAATGCTATATTCTTCCATCACAAAACCTTTTTGATGGCTGATGTACAATCATGCAGTCAACAGTGCCGATGAACCCCAGGCTGCATTGGAATGGTCCCGAGCCCCCGGCAACAGCAGCAGCAGCACCATGGTTTCATGATTCCCTTGGGTTGTATCGTTCGCTGCTGGCTGTGCCTGGATGTGATTCTGTAGAGTTGGTTCGAATTCACTGTTTCTTTCGGAATCAAATGCTGCTGGGAATTCAAGTGGTCTATGCGTCGTCGTCGACTACTGGAGTACCGGTTGTGAAGGAAACGGCATCCTCCCGATTGGTCTTTCCCGCCTTGTCCAGCAGTGAGGTTCAACGACAAACCTTTGAGTTGGATACCGACGATGCGCTGGAACATGTCGACTCGGTCTGCTTGCCCTTGTTGGGAGGAGGAGGAACGAGAAAGCTGGTCCAGGCCGTCTCGTTTCAATCTCAACAGGGAATCTTGCACACCCTGGGAGCAGCCCACAAACACGGTACAACCAGCAAAACGACTAGTCAAGAGCTTCCTCATCATGGCCCAGGGGAAGATCCATCCCTAGCACATTCGCCATGCACATCTGGCAAAAGAAGAAGGAGAAGAGTAATTGGCTTGGTAGCCACCCGTGATCCTGAGTTTGGATTGGTAGATCAGATTGGGTACTACTACCTGCAAGAGGAGGAAGAACATCACCTCATCACTGAACCTACTAGTAGACAATCGGGTCAATCTGGAAAGGACTTGATCTTCCACGAGCCTTGCAGCCGGGAACACTACATGCGACCCAAGCACTCCACCCACAAGAAGAACATCAGCCTTACCACCTCACAAAACCCTGCTGCCATTGTATCCCGACGAATCGCCAAATCCAGCACCAAACGACAACCCGCACTAGACTCTCAATTCTCGGACCTGGCATTCTACCAACGCCTTTGCAACCACCCCAGGATTGCCCACGTCAAGCTCTACAAGATTTGCTGCTACTACAATGACAATGCCATCCTTCGTCTCTACGGCATCTACCAGTGTACTATCCATAATGATGGTGAAAGCACTACTGCTACCATAGAAGTCATGCCCACGGACCATGCCGAATGGAAGCACTCCATGATGCAGCAAGTCGGTAGTGCCTGTCGAGTATTCACGATCACGTTGCAATCAGGAGAGTTCCTCAGTCGTCTCTACTGCGTCACTACCAATACAAAGCCCTTTAGTCATCATGGTGGTGGCAGCATCCAAACGGTGTCGCTGATCACCAATCGACGGAGTATCGACCTACAAGCTCGACTCATGAAAGAAACCACGAGAGCGGACGATGTTGGTGCACCACGACGAGTTGTAGCGTTGGCGGGAAGCATCGTTCATGGCCGGCTCCACCGGATTGGTTATGTGACAGAACCCACCAACTGGCACGTTCTCAAGCCATGGATCTTGCTGTGGCATGCTGCCGCCGGAAACGCAACCAAAACTTGCACCATCGAAGCACGAGTCGCACGGATGGCCCAAGCAGTGCCAATAAGCAGCAACAACGAGCCACCACGCAACGCTACATGTAATGATCGCAGACGACAATGGACAACAATCTCACCATCATGGATCAGCAGTAGGTACCGAGTCCACCACCGCCACCAGCCAGCACAACAGTACAACAAGTTGTTGTCATTTCGTTGGAAACTGGGTCGAGCCCTACTTTTGATGGGACGACATCACCACCACCAAGGCAGCAGCAGAAGCAGCTTTACGAGTACTCGAGAATTCCAAGTCTTGCAACAGCTTTTGCAGCACACCAACAACGATACGTTTCGGCACATTCTTTCGTTTCTGGCTCCGTCCATAGTGCATTGCTGACGGTACGGTACCGTACTAGTTACGTGTGCTCGATCGATCGAAAAGCCGAACGTGCACCTTGCCAATAACGAACCGTACTTCTGCTGAGGCAGGCGTCGGCTGTGAAAGCAATGTCACAGGAGGCTACCGTATAATGTGAGCAATCTTGAATGAAATGTTGGAAACACGAGGGCATTGGCTCATGGTTGTCATTCTCGAGCACTTTTTCTTGTCTGAATGAATCGCACCCGTGAAATAGATTTTGAGCTTTACTATTTGTATTTTATTAGTGAAAGCCATGTTTGGCAGAGAAAACACATTATTGCTCCACCTCGAACTTTTTCATTCATCCCGAATGACTGAATTCAAATCCATTTAATTGGGACGTGAACCAAAGTGAACTACATGTACTGTAATTTAGTTTCTCTCATGTTTTACGTACAACAAACTGCTCCGCATGCATGCATTGGGACATTGTGAGTGGTTTGGATTCTTGGATCCTCTGCGACATGGATTCATTCTCTATAATACTATGAGCAGCAGCAGCCCTGTAGCGGCAGTCCCTTGACAAAATGTTTAAAAAGTTGCACACCATGCCCTACCAAGATCTTTAAATCGCACACAGGATCCCTTCTGCGTGCAACCATTGCGAAGCTAGTCAGTCAGCCATGGCCATGATCGATTGATTGATTGATTGGAAAATAATTGTCACGATTGCTCATTCACTCATTCATACATCGGAATCACACACTGTCGCTGGTTCTAGTTCCCGATAATATCCGTAGACCTGAGAAAGTTGTAAGAATTGTCGTGTCATGTTTTTGGAAACCAGACACAATTCTTCCCACTGTAACGTGGATCGATGTTTGCGACTATTGGTGTGTTTTTGTTGTAATGATCGTCGTCTTTGCTGTTGTAGTGTCTGTCGCAAGTGCCGTCGTCGTCGCATCTTGTGCACCAAGGCATCAATCCGTTGATCGCTGGGCGGCTTTCGTTTGAGGACGCGAAACATGTCGTGAATGACCGTATAGTTGTGGTGGACCGTCAAATCTTCCAGCGAGAATCGTGGTAAGGATAGAGAGAGTAAATTGCGTTGCCACTGCAAATAGAATTCCAATCCTCGATGAATCAAGAATCGTTCTTGGAGTGTTTCCTTGTTAAAGTTATTTTTGGTGTGTTGTTGTTGTTGTATTTGCTGTCGCATTAGAGGTCCATTGGGTGTCAATGAAATGTGTTTGTCAATGTACTTGAAATAGGTAGGATCCTTATCGCCTTGAATGGGTTCTGTAAAGGCAATACTGGTGAGAGACTTGAGTGGATCCCGTACTTGATGCCAGACATGTCGGAATTTACTGCCATTCAAATAGGCACTGCCGTAATACCGATCATCGTTTTGTAGAAAAATGTGAATCCAGGAAATCATGGCTTGGGTTCCGGCTCGCACCGGTTGTGCGTCATTGTTGGCGGAGACTCCCAATTTGCGCAAGAGCGACTGCAAAAAGACAGTGCCACTGCGAGGAGTCGCCGACACTAAAATGGGAATCACCCGAGGTTCTGCCTTTCGGATGGGTTTGCCTTTGAATGGACCGGGTGCGGTTTGTATGGGAGGAGGTGTCGTGGGCTTTGTCGGCAGATTGTGACAGCATTCCGAGTAAATGGTGGAGCGTTGCACGCGTTCACAGTGATCTGGCGAACAGCAAAAGGGATCTCGCGACGAGTTGATGCAAAAGACACCCGATGATGATGGTGATGGTGATGATGACACAAGAAGCGTCATGTTCATCATGGTCACCTCGTCCTTGACAGCCACGGGTGGATTATTATTGACGGGAGTGAAATGAAAGACCTTGAATCCCACCATGCAACAGAGACCCACCAGAAATCCCATGGCGTGGAGTCTCGAGAGAATCGCACTCAGAAGCGCCATGGTAGACAGACACACTTCTTTCCAGCACTCCAATACGAGCAATGACCCACAAAAACACTCCAAGCTCGATTGGATCACCTCCACTAACCCACTTCTAGAAGTAGACTCTTTCTCTTGTCCTGAGGAGGAGGAGGAGGATGGACTCGCTTGGGCAGTGGCACGCCTCTTCGATTGTATCGACTGGATTACTGGCAACAGTTTCGGCATCGTTCGTGGACGGCAAATTTTCAAAAATGTTGTAACCAGTGTGACTTTTTTCGAAAGACTCAATCAGGAAGCCGTGTGAGCTGTCAAATGCCTTCAGATACCGTACTGTAGAGGTGCGCTCTCTGGCATTGATTGACAAACAGCCCGCAAGGGAAAAAGATACAGTAGATTCGATTCCAATGAGGTTCCATCAGTATACCGTAGCCCCCCGGACTCGTTGAACTCTCTATGGTTATTTAGTTTCTCATGAGGTCACCAAGAGGCGTTTTTAGAGACACAAAGCAAAGCATCCATGGCTGCATGGGGCACTGATACAGTACCGTACTGGCACTTTGGCGTCTTCGAAAGCAAAGGGATGACATGTCAAAACTCTTGCACCATACCACATGGTGTCAAAGGTACCAGTACCGTTCATGAACTCGTTACTCGTAGGTGCATTTTCGATCTAGCTAGCTAGCTACTAGCTAGTGAACCTCTGATCTTTAGGTACCGTACGTAGTTGTCAAGCTACCGTACATCTCCATCTTTTTATAAAGTCTAGCTAGTGCATACGGTAGTACGAAATAAACTTCTCAGTATAGAAAGTAGTGCCATGTCAGCTCCTCTAGAACCCTCCAGGAAGCTTGGAATCCCTTGGGAAACGTCACAAGGTCGCCCGGTCCTACAATCACAGCTTCCTCCTGTCCAGACGGGATGATTTCTAGTTTTCCGGAAAGTACATAGCTCAGTTCACCGTAGGGCATGATCTTGTCGGCGTTTTGATTTCCCACGGCCCATTTCTCTTTATTGGCTGTCGTCCACGTCGGCCAGTTTAACGCGTCCAAATCTTCCACTAGCTCCGCGCTTCCTGGTTCCACCGTGAATTCCATGTGCAGCACGCGGGGACCCAATCCACACTCTTCCTCGTTGCTGCAGTATTTGTCGGGCCATTCCAGCACGGCCGGATGAATCTCATCTTCTTCAGTACTACTACTCGACAGCAACAACCTAGTAGTAGAAGTGGCAGTGGTTGTCGAGCAAAGGTTATTGTAGTGGTGGTGGTACGCAGTGAATCCCTGGACACGCCGACACAAACAGAATACCAGTGCCGCTAGTAGCGCCGTTCTCAACATGATGGTTCTCTGCTTTGAACTATTAGTACTGTAAGACCTTGACGGAACAGAAAGAAGTATATTCAACTGTAACTCTTGGTTGGAAACGTATTAGTACTTGATACAGATCCAAATCTTAGCGACGCATTTCGTTGCTTGTTGGTGTTTGTTATCTGGTACCGGTAGCTATCTAGACGTGACGTCAGTGCCGCCAAGAGATTTTTGGATCTTGAATTCTTGCCGTTATATCGCCAGTATCCAGGGGGGCTAAGCCAGCTATAGCTACTTAGGAGGACCTGTGGCGGGAGCGCCAGATTTCACCCCAATAATCTGAGTGAAAGACCAAAAATCCTGTTCAGGAAAGCTGGGACTAGCTAGACTAGCTAGACTTTACATACATGTACCGGTAGCTAAGACTGCTTTCTGTTTCAGGATGTCGTACATGTCGCCATGGTACTGGTATACTCTTCCGACGTGAGCTCGTTCGGGGGTTCCATATGGCAGAAACGCGATCGATCCTCGTGTGTTAGCTCTCATCTTCTACTAGCTCTAGCTAGCTAGTATACTATTCCACGTATCTCGAAACAATCTCTTTGATCTTAGCACACTTTACATTTGGCACCGACGTGGATACGTCACTGTCCTACATCGTTGCTGCAAGGACCTGCTACAACAGTTGATTCGTTTCCGTTGATTCAATTATTGAGTTTGACCATGAAGTTGTGTTCCATCGGCCTTCTTGTGGTTGTCGCCATCCATGGCACCTTTGCAAAGAAGTATTACAATCCCCAGATTGCCGAGGACAGGACTGGCCTTTTGGGCCCAAGTTCCCATCACATCTATGAATCTCAAGATGACGTTGAAGAAGATGGAAATGATGCCCGAGAAAACCATGTGAGGAGGACTGAGGGTGAACCGGAACTGCCTTCCTTTGCAAACGACCATGAAGAAGAAGAAGAGAGCTCTGATCAGTTTTACACTGCGGAATCACTGGACTTTTTCAAGAAGGGAATTGACCCTGACAGCTTTGAATGGGTTAATCCCGATGAAATTGTTCCTGGCGAGAGCACTTGTGGATTTCTCAAAGCGCCACTTGGATCCCTGCCTGATGTGACCTATCCCAAAGTGGAAGTTTATGTCTGTATGCGATTTGCAGAGAATCAGCCCGCCCCAAAAGGAAACATATTCACTCACTGCGGTGGTCCAGGGTCATTGAGCGAGTGTGGCATCCGATTTACCACGCGTTTCTTGGATGAAGACGTTGTGAAGGACTATAATCTTATATCGATTGATCAGGTACAATTGCAATAATGAGTATCCTTTGGTCCGTGCAATCAATCAATATGGCCAGTCATGAAACTAACATGTGCTTGTACCTACGTTCCAGCGAGGAGTGGGACGTTCTTGGCCAAGCTTCGTCCATGAGGAATGCTCGCGGTATGGATACCTGAAGGATGGAAATGGTACCATCATTGGCACAGTGGCACCACCAGAATTTGAAACAGATGGAGCCCTGACAGAAGAAAATATCAAGGCTATGCTCCCTGCGTACCAGCGAACAATGCGGGACTGCTGGACCTGCACACGGTGTGACTTCCATTTGGATGCTACCCAGGCCGATGGGAGTGTCAAAAATTTCCACTTTTTGGAGTATTCTGGCACACGACAGTAAGGAAGAAGCATCTTTGTGTGCTTCTGGTCCATGGGATTTTTGTGCTGCTCTCAACCCTGTCTTCTTGTATGGCGCACATCATAGGTTGGCAGAGGATAGTAAGTGGGATGTGTGCATTGGGTGATCATCAAACCATAATGTGCACGTGAAGAACCTAAGCTTCCCTTTCTCTCCATCAGTTTTTCGCATGAGGCTTCTGCTGAATGCACCTCTGATGCATCTGTATGGCGTCTCCTATGGCACACAAGTGTTTTCGACCTATGCGACCATATTTCCATCCTTTACTGGGCTTCTTGCCCTTGACAGCAATGTGAGCCCAAAGCCAGACTTTTACCACAATGCAAGGACATCGGCCATTGGCATGAACGATCGTATTGACTACATCATCTTCTCCTGCACTGCACGGAATGTTGTCAATCCGGGCAGCTGTCCAGTAGAAAACATGAGGCAATGCATTGGGGACATCAACAGACTCCTTCAAGAAACATTTGGATCTTCTCCGGAGGAGAGGGTGCAGATACCCTTCGAAGTCTAGTTCAAATTATCCTTGCCAATGTTGACAGGGCTGAGGAAATCTGCAATGCAGCTGCAAATGGAGATACTGATTTGATCGTAGAGATTGTGGAGGAGCTGACATCTGAAGTCAATGTAGATGAACAAATGACGAAGCAGGGCTCTGATTATGTTTCTCAACCAACTCCGGATGATTATGTTTTTGGCAACCCTGACTTTACCGAAATCAATGAAGGCCAGGAAGTATCGATAGCCATGGTCAGAGGTCAAGACCGTTCTGGGGCCATTTACGACAATGACAGATTTGCCAAAGAAGTCGTTGAATTCAATGAAAGGTATAGGTGCTGGTACTGGGTCCCCTGGGAAAATGTTTTTACAGCAGTATTCCCTTGGGTACTATTGGCCCAAAGGAGTCCCTCTGTCACCTGCTGGAAATGCATTTGCTACAGGTAAGAACCACTGCTAAAGTTTATGCTTGCCTGCTGGATGTTTGTTTAGTTTTTCATCTAACCAACACGAGCATGCGCCGAACGTTGCAACATTTGTCTTGACCCATGCACAGGAATCCTTGGTGGTCAACTCTACGACCTAGCCACACCGTACACCTGGACGCAAGAGATGAAGATGGCTTTTCCAAACACACATCTACTGACAAGTCAATCTCTTTTCCATGGTATTGCTTCAACTCATCCTGAGTGCCAGAGGCATGTGCAGGAGTATTTCAAGGTTGGGTACCCTGGGTTTACGGATGGAGAAGGTAAGTCAATTTCCATGCTGACTGAATGAATGCATAGAAATTTTAAAAGCCACTGTCATCAAGCATATGCATCACTCTAGACTATCTAACAAACAAACAACGTCTCCTTTTTAAAATTTACAACAGTTTGTGGAGCGGACTTTGCGGACCAAGATAGCCTGCTCGGAGTTTTCTCTTTTCGCATGTAGAAAGCCCAGCGCACAAAGATATTTAACGTTTTCTCTTGCAAGGAGACTACGGTACCGTATGGTACCATGGCCGGTGAGCAGACTTGACTGTGGGAAATACCCGGGCCTCCGCTAGCTAGTGGGTCGTCCTCAAGCACATCTTGTCTGAATCCGTTATTAGACGTTCAGTTTTTTTCCTTCGTATGCGTGGTACCATGGCCTCAATCTAAATACATGTAACCACGAGTGCTGTCTTTGTTTTGCCTCTACTAGTACAATACTAGCTATGTTTAGCTATGAAAGGCCATCCTGTCATGCATTCTGTCCCCACCGATGGTCTCTCTTCATAGCTGTGCCAACTGCATGCTTGCTGCATAGTGTAACTTCTTTTGGCTGCGAGGTTCCCAGCTTGGTCGAGACCTGATACCTGATCCTCTTGTTGAGACACTGGTTGTGCCTTGAACGTGCTGCTGACTTGAACGAGGTCCTTCTTTCGTTTTGGCTGCACAAGTGAGTTGTCTTTGTGAGTTTTAATTATTGCAATGTATGACATCACCTTCTGCTCGTTCCTTCATTGGTTGCTGCAGATGACGCGGTGTGCCAATCAAAAAGAGTTCTGTTGAGCTAAATTTCTCAACCAAATTCTGTTCCTCTGAAACGTTGCACAAAGATTCCATTCCCTCCAAGAAAAAGCTGCTTTGTGGGCTGCCTGTACTAGACTAGTATGCATGCACGCCGAATGGCAAAGATTTCCCCGGTCTGGAATCTTGCCTCCAACTGCCACGCAGAATTCTCACTTTGTCTCGTCATTTTATTTCATTCCTCAAAGCCAACTGCAGCTCCTATTTGAAAGACACACTCGCTTCTCATAACAATCGCCAATACATACTGTACCTCCTTGTCCGGACCCAAGACAACAAAGTGCCGATACCTTTGTGCTAATACCAATACCTTCCCAATACTATCTAGCTAGCATGAGGCATTTGTTTGTTGCCTTTTTACTGACCACTGTGTGGGTATCTGAAAGCCATGGGTTTCAAATTCCTCAAGTCTTTTCCTCTTCCAACAAGAATAAGCAAAACAACAAGAACAAGCCCACTACTGTGACCAAGTACATTGATGGCGATCGCATGTTGGACAAGGTGGAATATTTACCCGAAATTCTGGACAAGCATCCGATTATTGACTCGGAGTTTGTCGAGCATTTGCAAGTGAAAGAAGATGCGTGTCTTCCCAACTGCGAACACGGATGGTTCACGTCCGTCTATAAAGGCGCCAAACTGCATTATCGGCGGTTTCTACCCAAAGGCAAAGTCAAGGGAATTGTCGTGTGGATGCACGGGATTACGTCCTTTAGTGGCGTCGCCTTTGTCGATGACGATGGTCGCAAAATCAACATGGCATTGCTCAGTGAGCAAATTACAAAGCAAGGATATGCGTGTTATGCCTTTGACATGTACGGACATGGATACAGTGAAGGCATTCGGCATTATGTGCGCAACTGGAAACACAATCTCAAGGATTACCAAAACTTTGTCGACTTGGTCGTACAGCAACATTCCCCCGATACGCCCTTGTTTCTCTGTGGAGAATCGTACGGTGGTTGTCTCACACTGCATCTCGCACAGCATTTTCAAGACCACCCGGAAGAGCGTCCCGAAGGCTTTGATTCCATTCTCTTGTTGGCACCCGCCATTCAAGCCGTCATGCCTCCCCGGCATGTCTACCTGACACTCCGTTATGGGCTGGCACCACTCTTTCCACGATGGATTCCGTTCTTCATGCCCCATCCCGTGCATCCCGATCGCATTTGGAGAGATGCCAAAGTCCGGGCATTGCACGATGATGAAATTTCCCGCAATGTCACACTGGGAGGTGGCGGCAAACCATTTCGGTTAGGAACCGCCGCGTCCATGTTGGATGCGTTAAAGATGGTCCGCAAGCATGCCATTCCACAACTCTCCGTGCCTTTTGGAGTCGTCCATGGCGCTTCAGATCATGCCGTGCCCATTGAAGGGACCGAGTTTCTCTTGGAGCATGCTCAAACACCCGAGGAAGACCGGGACATGTTGCGCCTGGAAGGAGCCTATCATGATCTCTTGGCGGATCCAGATGCCGAAGCTACCGTGCAGTTTTGTACGCAATGGATACAGAAACGTCTCGACAAACGGAATTCTTTGGCGGCAGACGCTGTCGAGAAGGAAGAACTGGCATCCGATGATCAAGAATGGTGGGATACCCTGGAAGATTTGACATCCGTCCCCCGCACAGTTGACAGCAGCAGCAGGGCGATGGATACCCAGAAGAACAGCACTGTTGCGTTTGCTTAGTTAGGGCAAGAGCAAGCAAGAAGCACACACTGGAACCACACGACGACTCGACTCGCTCACAGGGGCAACCACCTGTTGGTTGCTTGTTCCAAAAGGCCAATTTTGAAAATCATCCGGCTTTTTGAGCGAACGTACCGTACGTGTGTCGATCCAGTCCAGGTGGTTATGCTAGCTACATGAGAAACTACAGCGATAGCATGAAAAGGCAGTACCAACGAACCCCCCACACACTTTTGTCAGCGCTATACGCAAGGCTATCAACCCACCCATGCACGCTCACGAATGAAATATCACCCACGGCCGTAGCCGTACAAATGCCAAGAAAACGACCAACCTGCAGGCACCTAGCCGTCTTGTGTTTTTGTCGATAACATGCACATTGAATCTTTTACGTCAAGCATTTTTTGAAAAAAGAACAAGCCACTAATTTGATTTTGATTTTCCCCGCAAACTAGACATACCCTTTTCATACACCCTCTACTAGCAATCTCTATTCTAAAATACGTTACGCATGCATCTCGGTACTGTATTGACATCACTACTCCCCATTATCTCTCTACTGATGGAGAGTGTGTCGGCATCCCCCTGGGTTCTGCGACGGAACCAGCAAGCTTTGTCTTGACGATATCCACCAGGCTGATGACTGATGATACTCCCTACATGTGGCTATGACGGTGACCAACGCACAAATGCCGACTCATGCCCCGCTGGATCCTGTGCCAAGGGACGTTACAACGGTACGGTGCATCTACCCCTTGTGGAACTGTCTTTGGTGTTTGCGATGCCCAAGATTGTTGCGACGGCGCAGGATCATGCGCATGACTACCGTACTCTGCAACCAAGTTCTCCGAACTCGGATACGGCTGGGATGCTCCCTTTGCTGTCTTCAAGTCGTGGCCTCCAAAGTCGTTGCCTTCGTTGGTCTTACGAGCACGCCTACCAGAGAAGGAATGCCTCTCTGTGATGGACATGATCACTCAATTTTTACTATCTATAATATAATATCTACTTACGAGGAATTCAAAAATCTCCTATGGATCAATCGTTTCCCAAGAGATGACAAAACAAATTGAACCCTACCAGCCCATGATGGCCTAGCGCGTCATCTGGAGCATGCGTATTGTTGTTTCTTTTGTATGGGGACTTTGGTTGTTTCCAAGTTGCCAGATTACCTGGGTAAATTGTCGAGGATTTCTGTAGTTCCTTGATTGATTGAGCGTTCCTCCATCCATCCGGCATGCCTGTCTGCCTACCTGCATTTCCACTTCCATATTATTGCTCTATACGGTACCCGTATTGCTCGCCTTCATCGAGCAGACACTCGTCATCTTCTGGTCCGCACACCATAATGTGCGCATTGGCCATGCCGACTTTTTGATCAAAATCGACATCTTCTCCCCACAGGGCGGCAAATTCTTGGAGAGCGGCAGCGGCACTACCAAAGAGTAAACTGTAGACGAGATCGTCCCAAATGGACAATTCTTCTTCTGGAGCCACGTGGGCAATATACGTGGCGGCAAACATTTGAAAGAGTGACATGAATGTTTGAAATTTGATCCATCCCTTGTATTTACAGAGATCCAATCCCGGAGTCACAGTGGTGAGGACCATTTCCAATGCCGAATGTGCCACGACGACAAAGAGTGTTCCATAATAGAGAGCACCGACATTGCCCAGGAACAGTTGATCCTTCATGGCGGCGACCGTGACGGTAAAGGCTCCAAAGGCTCTCGCAAAATCAATGGCCATGTGTGTGTTTTGCAAATCGGCAGGAGGTCGATAATGAATGATTTCTTGGAGGATGTTTTTACTGTTGTTCGAGTCATAGATATCATTGGTGGGATTGGGTTCCAAAGCAGCGGCTTGTCGTAGATAGTATGCCAATATCATGCCGTAAATGAGTGTGACGAGTGTAAAGGCAGAGACAGTGGCAGCCTTACTACCAATAGGATCGAATAGAATGACAATGGTATCGGCGGGGACACAGGCAAAAATGCAGGCTCCAATCCACGCTTGGCCTTGTCGTAGACTTTTGCAGGTCATGAGATTCCAGAGGAAGAAATAGGTGCAAAACTGGGAGATTGGAACGTATGCCGACATGGCATTGTAGACGAGTTGGCCGTTGGCGCCGGATGCGTAAATGCCAAAGACATCGAAAATGTCAGGTCGGGTCAAAAATTCCGTGGCGGAAAAGATGTACCACCATAGTGTGCCCACCAGCAGACCAAACAAATGCAACAGTTTGTTGTCTGGCATTTCTTCCACACTACTAGTACTACTGCTAGTACTGCTGAGAATGGACTCTTTGGGTTTTCGATAGGAGACAATCTGACCCTTGTTCATGTCGCTCTTGATCTTCAAGTTTTGCTGCTCCTCCACTTCTTGGAAAAAGGAGGCACTGTCCATGGACAAGGCTTCCAAAACTTCTTGGTCGTCGTCTTGCTGCTCTTCTACTACTAGATCTACCAGTAGTGGCGGTTGGTCTTCTGGTTTTCGCAAGAGCGATTTCAGTCGCTTGCGCAATCGATCTCGTTTGCCAGTCGTTTCAGGGTCATCCGCGGCGTGAGATGCCATGCTCACTCTTGTTGTGGTGGTGGTGGTTGTCCATCTACCAGTAGTCGGTGATGACGGAGATGCAAAATGAAAGGCAAAACCAAACGCTGTCGCTTCGAGGGCAAACAGCGCTAGCAGCAGGACCAACTGGATCGGAAGCTTCATCATTGTCATGGTAGTCAAGGAATGAGAGATTCGATTCAGTGCACTGGGTACTACTTGGATTTCGTATAATATATATTATGGATCAAGTTGAGCAGTTAGTGCAAGTGCATAAAGCACAGCTTTCTTGTTTCTTTCTTTCTCAGGAGAGGCGACGACGCTGCATTGCCATCTTGCTTTTTCTCCTTCTATCTGCTCAATAATAATGTCGCAATGGCCTGTTTGCTTTGCTGTTGACACACCACGTCATTCTTCTCGTGTCGTCATTTCTGCTGACGTGGGAGCCAGGATTTAATGTTTGAGACCACGGTTCTCAAGTTGCTTCAATGTAGATTTAACAATCACGCTGATGAGTTCTCACAGCAGGAGAATACATAAAACTTCTTACAGTAAAAGCAGAATGTGACAAACGAGGATTTAGTAAAGCGGACCGAATGATACGGCCACCGGACTGTGGTGGATTTAACAAAGGGATCTTGCTTTCATTCCCATAACCTACCGGTACTGGTACCGACCGAACCCAATGGCACAGCTACGCGCATGTAGCTAGTAGGTACCGGTACCAAATGGAATCTATCTAGTAGCCTACCGTATCGCGTATCGCGTATGGCTAAAGGGAGCTAACGAAGTCTGTATGCAAGCTATACATGTCTTGCTGTCTTCCGATGATTCATTCGATTCTTGCGGCTAGCTAGCAATGGACAGCAAAGAACCTCTAGTAGCCCGATGGGTATTTACGCTACTAGGCACGACCTGGAACCTCTGTTGTCACTGCCTCTAGCTAGCTAGCTAGCTAGCTAGCTGCTAGCTAGATACAGTATGCATGCAGCCATAGACTAGCTAGCTTGATGCTCCAAGAGCGAACCACTTCGTAGATGACGAGCGCCGAGCAATGTTGCCGCAGAAACAGGCGCAGTGTGGCAGCATTTTCAACAGCATTGTCGCAAGAAAGTCACGCAGTCTCGTTCTTCCTTTGTGGAAGGCTGGATCTTGCATGCATGCATGCATGATGATCGAGTGCCACAACAAGGCGGGGTTGTGAATGTCAGCCCGGCCGAAAAACCGACCAAGCAGGTCCCCAGGCCAACGAATCCAATCGAATCGAATCAAATCGCTGCCTTGGGCGGTGAGATGAATAATTAGTGAATCGTAGCTACTAGCTATAGCCATTGCCAAAAGTACAGCGTTGCATGGTTGAGCCAGCCAGTGGGTGGGATAGTAGTCTCGCGCAGCATGATCCATGTTTCTCGTAAAGTTGCTTCTGGCTGGCTCTCTTATTGCGTCTATGTGGGGTCGAACGAACCAATACTCCAGGAAGGCACCAGCAAACACTTCTTCTGCCACACAAGGGTACTAGTAACTGATCCACAAACACATACAGTACTCGAGCAAGAATCGTCATTAGGCGGGGATCAAAACGAGAATCCCGTCCAACGACTATAACTTTATTGCAGCGCACATGGGGACGACAGTACCGTATCCACTCCTACATTCGTGCCCGTCCGTCCAAGCTACAGTACTATGCATTATAATCAGCTAGATCTTGGACCAGTGGAGTTTCCGGTAAACATGTCGTAGTACCTTACTGAATGTCTGCCACGGTGGCAATAGTTTTTCCGTGACAGTGGTGGCATTCGCCTCGTACTACAGATTGGACAGGGGCAGAACGATTTCATTACGGACGGGGATTTCTGGTATTGATGGAGAATAGGCTGTGCAGCCCGAAATTGTAAGTTAGCTACCAGTATGCTGTCGCAGCATGAACTATGGACAAGCGTGACAGAGGGCCCCATTTGGTGATGCAGCCAAGTTGGAAAAACTGAACGTCTAATAACGGATTCAGACGAGATGTGCTTGAGGACTACCCACGAGCTAAGGCTCGGGTATTTCCCACAGTCAAGTCTGCTCACCGGCCACACTGGCCTCCTGAGAGGGTGCGACGCCTGTTAGCTATCTAAGGATTTGTACACTGAGTTAGGGTTGGGCAGCCAAGTTGGAGTTAGCCCGATTGTAGTTGTGCTATTGCACCATAGCCTATGGGGGACAAACGTGACAGAGTGGGCCTTTTGGTGATGCCCCCAGGTCAACAGTTGTCGCTGCTTCAGGACAAGATGTACTCTGAAACATGAAAGTGACATCTGGGGTTCCTGATATCTTGGGACCCCAAGAACACAAATCATGGTTAAAAGCCGAAGCACTAGTCAGCGTTTGAAAAAATATATTCACAGCTGAGACATCTGTCATTGTCAGAATTTGTTGGTTAGAGTGAGAAAAAAGCTAGACATACCCCAAAATATAGAGCAATCCAAAATTTGACTTACCCCAAGAACTGATATCAATATTGAAGGCGTAGGCATGAAAGAAAGTGACCTGCAGCGATGTCACCTTGCTGGTATCTATTGTTGCCAACAGAAAGTGGGGTAAAATTGTTTTAGAGCAAACTTTCATACGGTATGCGGAGCACTGATATCCAAAAGTTTGACTTACCCCAGGTACTGATATCTCCATTGAAAATACTGGCTGCTCCGAAGGCACCAAAAAGGGATGTCACCTTGCTGGTGTCTAACATTGAGAGAAAAAGTGAGAAAGGGTTTACTAGTAAGAAGCAGGACAATGTAAAAGCTTGAGAAATTCAAGATTTTGGCTTACCCCAAGAACTGAGATCTTGATTGAAATTACTGGCAAGATTGAAGACGAAGTCCATGTTTGTGACACTGCTGGTATCTATCGTGGCCAACAGAAAGTGGTGTAAAACTGCAGTATTAGAGCAAATTTCATACAAAGAAGAAATGAAATCCAAGGCATTTGACTTACCCCAGTTACTGACATCACCATTAAATGTGGTCGTAGCTGCGATGGAAGGCAGCAAGGAAACTGTGACCAAAGCATTGCAAAGATATGAGGTTACACTTCCTTAATAGACATGACCAGAATGCAAAGGGTACATGTATTAAGCAACATCAACCTACCAAAATCAGTGACTGCCAGCACATTCCATGTTGTAATGGAACCTGTAGAAGAATAATGGATCAATGATGTAAGCCAAACCAACTTCTAGGATTTATTTCCAGCAGTATCAAGTTCAAGTTCAAGTTCTCACCGTAAGGTCCAGTTGAAGAGTAATCGCCCTGGTCCAGAGCAGCAATGAGAGTTGGTTTGTTGGGGATGACTGAATTGTAAATGGTGAGGACATCCTGCAAGCACAAGAACAGTTGGTATGGTCGTGAGGTGTTTCACAGGAGCAAAACTCACCATATCCAGCTGTGGGAGAATTTGAAGGAATAGAAGATGGCACATTGCTGGGTTGCATGGATGGAAGACTTGATGGTTACCCTGACGGGAGACTTGAGGGCAACTGTGATGGGCTAGAAGAGGGCTGCAAGCTTGGATGGAAGGAGGGTAAGGTTGATGGAATATCACTAGGCTGTCCTGATGGGTCACTTGAGGGAAGCTTGCTTGGGGATGCACTTGGAACTGTGCTTGGTACCATGCTTGGTACCATGCTTGGTGTCTTTGTAGGTGCTTTTGTTGGTGATTTGGTTGGAGCTTTGGTGGGTGCTGAGCAGGTGTAGCAGAAGGGGCCTTTTGGTGATGCCCCCAGGTCAACAGCTGTTGCTGCTTCAGGACAAGAAGTACCCAAGAACATATTAGTGACACCTGGAGTGCCTGTGATCTTGGTACCCCAAGAACACAAATCTTGGTCAAAAGCTGAAGCTCCTTCCAGCATAGAGAAGAAATACCAGTTAGTGACAGATGCAACATCCCTTCAATAAATCAGAAGGAAAAGAAACAAGCCCAAATGTGAGGTTTTTATCAATATCCGGTTGAGAATTCTTATTTGCATATACGGTAGCTTGGACCTACCAGGCACTGATATCCCTATTGAAGGAGTTTGCACTGTAGAAAGTGGTGAGCATGTTTGTGACCCTGCTGGTATCTTAAGATGCCAACAAGCAGGCGGAGTAAATTTTTTGTTTTAGAGCAAACTTTCATACAACAAAGAAATGATATCGAAGATATTTGACTTACCCCAGGTGCTGATATCTCCATTGAAGGAGGTGGCACCGTAGAAGGTTGAAAATAGGCTTGTCACCTTGCTAGTATCTATCATTATCAGAATAGGTTGGAAAGAGTTAGAAAATTCAAGACATAATTGAAAAGGTTGATCTATCCAAGATTGACTTACCCCAGGAACTCATATCAATGTTGAAGGAGGTGGCCTGAAAGAAAGCTTGTTCCAATCTTATCACACTGCTGGTATCTTTTGTTGCCAAAAGAATGTGGAGTAATTGCAAATTTAGACCAAAATATATCATACAAAGAACCGATATCCAAGATATTTGACTTACCCCAGGTGCTGATATCTCCATTGAAGGAGGTGGCACCTCTGAAGGCATAATCTAGTGAAATCACCTTGCTGGTATCTATGATTGTCAGAATAGGTTGGAAAGAGTTAAGAAAAAACAGCATGATTCCAACACAAAGACGAATCCAAGACTTGTCGTACCCCAGGATTTGAGATCAATATTGAAGGAGTTGGCATTGTAGAAAGCGTTTTGCAGTGATACCACACTGCTGGTGTCTTTTGTTGCCAACAAAAGGCGGAGAAGATTTCAGTTGCAAAGCAAACTTTCAAACAAAAAAGAAATGATATCCATGATGTTCGACTTACCCCAGGTACTGATATCTCCATTGAAGGAGTTGGCATTTTTGAAGGCACTATCCAGGTCTTTCACCTTGCTGGTATCTTTCATTGTCAGAATAGATTGGAAAGAGTTAGAAAGGAGTTATAAAATCCTAACAGAATCCAACAGGAAGAGCAATCCAAGTGTTGTCTTACCCCAGGAGCTGAGATCAATGTTGAAGTCTGTGGCACCAGCGAAAGTGGCGCCCAACGTTGTCACACTGCTGATATCTTTTGTTGCCAACAGAAGGCAGAATAGTTTGCAGTTTTAGAGCAAACTTTCATACGGAGAGCTGATATACAGGATGTTTGACTTACCCCAGGTACTGATATCTCCATTGAAAGCACTGGCAGCAAGGAACGTACTATACAGTGATGTCACCTTGCTGGTATCTTTCATTGTCAGAATAGATTGGGAAAAGTTAGTAAAAATGCATTGGAGAGATGAAAGAAAACACTGGGAAATAGTCATGCATCAAACAAAATAGCAGCTGGGCTTACCCCATGAACGAATGTCACCGTTGAAGGCGGCGGCGCTATAGAAGGTGCTATACAGTGATGTGACCGTGCTGGTATCTTTTGTTGACAATATGAGGTGGAGGTACATTGAAGTTTTAGACCAACTTTCAACCAAAAAGAAATGATATCCATGATGTTCGACTTACCCCAGGTACTGATATCTCCATTGAAGGAGTTGGCATTGTAGAAGGCACCAAGTAAGTCTAACACCTTGCTGGTATCTATCATTGTCAGAATACATTAGAAAGAGTAAGGATAAATCCACACAGAACATACAACAAACAAAAATTTGGGTTTGCCTCACCCCAGGAACTGAGATCGACATTGAACGAGGTGGCATCCTTGAAGGCGTTTCTCAGTGTAACAACACTGCTTGTATCTATTATTGCCGACAGAAGGAGAGTAAAATTACAGTATTAGACGAAACTTTCATATACCAAGAGATTATATCCAAGATGTTTGACTTACCCCAGTTACTGACATCACCATTAAATGTGGTCGTATCTGTGATTGAAGGCAGCAAGGACTCTGTGACCAGAGCATAACCAGAGCAGACAAAGAGATGGGTTACACTTTCCAAAAAAGAAATAACAAGAACGCAAATGGTTGTAAACCACATACCATAGTCAGTGACTGCCTTAACATTCCATGTTGTAATGGAGCCTGTGGAAGAGCAGAGGATAAATGGTGTAAGTGTGTACCTTGTTGGACTTATTACCAGCAGTATTAAGTTCAAGTTCAAGTTCAGTTTCTTACCATAAGGTCCAGTTGGAGAGTAATCGCCCTGCTCCAGAGCATCAATGAGAGTTGGTTTGTCGGGGATGACTGATTGGTACATGGAGAGGACATCTTGCTTAGCAAAAATCAGTCTGTTTTGTTGTGAGGTGTTTCTGATAGGAGTAGACTCACCATATCCCGCAGTAGGAGAAATTGAAGGAATAGAAGATGGCACAATACTGGGTTGCATGGAGGGAAGACTTGATGGTTGCCCTGATGGGAGACTTGAGGGAAACTGGGACGGACTTGAAGATGGTTGCAAGTTTGGATGGCTGGAGGGTAAGTTTGATGGAATAGAAGAGGGCTGTGAGCTTGTTTGGCTAGGAATATTACTGGGTTGACGTGATGGGACACTTGAGGGAAATTGTGATGGACTTAAAGAGGGCTGCAAGCTTGGATGGATGGAGGGTAAGGTTGATGGAATACTGCTGGGTTGTCCTGATGGGATACTTGATGGAAACTGAGATAGTGTGGAAGAAGGCTGTGAACTTGTTTGGCTGGAGGGAAACTGTGATGGAGTTGAAGAGGGCTGCAGGCTTGGATGGCTGGATGGTAAGTTTGAAGGCATGGAACTGGGTTGACCTGATGGGACACTTGAGGGAAACTGAGATAGTGTGGAAGAGGGCTGCAAGCTTGGATGGGTAGAGGGTAAGTTTGATGGCATGAAACTGGGTTGACCTGATGGGACACTTGAAGGAAACCGAGATAGTGTGGAAGAGGGCTGCAAGCTTGGATGCATGGAGGGTAAGGGCAATTTGGATGGATCAGATGAAGGGAGCATTGAAGGAAGGATTGATGGTGCCACTGTTGGAGTTTTTGTAGGTGTAACAGTTGGCAAAATGCTTG